TGCCAAACAATTGCATCGCATGTTTTTCAGTGTCAACAACCTTAAAGTACGCATACAGAGATTTTTCTTTTCTTTTTTTCTTATTTTTATTTTTTGAGATTTTTCTTAAAATAGTTTGCTTGTTCTATTAATCATACACAAAAAATAAAACAGGATGTAAAAGACTCTTTCCTTTTAGATCTTTTGCCAACACATGAATCAAAACTACTGCATTTAAAATATGGAAGGAAGAAAAGAGAGGGAAAAGGAAGAAAGTGAGAAGAGAGGGAGAGGAAGAGGAAAGGGAAAAAGGGAAGGTGAACCAAATAACGAGTAACAGCTTCTAAAATGTTAGTAATAAAGTTAAGTTTTTTAACGCATCAGTGACTGGGGATTTTTGCAGAAGCAGTCAATAATGTGTTAAAATCATTTAAAAAACTTTAATTAGTCTTATTTTTGTGAAATGTATAGACATATAGATACAATTATATATAGTAGTATAAACATAATGTGTGTGTGTGTGTTCAGTTGCTCAGCTACGTCCGACTCTTTGCAACCCCATGAACTCCACAAGGTTCCTCCATCCATGGAATTTTCCAGGCAAGAATACTGGAGTGGGTTGCCGTTTTCTATTCCAGGGGATCTTCCTGACCAAGGGATCAAACCCGTATCACTTGTCCCTCCTGTATTGGTGGGCAGATTCTTTACCACTGCACCGAAAAGCCTCATGTATTATGTATATATAGTATATAAAAGACAGTATAGTTTGATCACAGGCAGTATAATAACTTAGTTCAATGCAAAAACTAAAAATAATTGAGGGGTTTTAGCTGTTACAAAAACTGTAAACTGACACATCTTGAGATCTAAAAGACAAGTGTGACTTTAGTACTAGGCAAGAAAGGATCCAATGGAGTAGGAAATAGCAACCCACTCCAGTATTCTTGCCTGGGAAACTCCATGGAGAGAAGCCTGGCAGGCTCCAGTCCCCGAGGTCGCAAAAAGTCAGACACAACTTAGCGACTGAGAATGCATACACAAGAAAGGATGAAGGCAGACAAGGGAGGTTAGAAGACCGAGGGAAAGCAAGAAGGTATGGAGAGAGAGGATTTTAGGTTTTACACCAAGAGCACTAAAAACATAAGGTGAAAAAACATCACAGTCACTGAAAACTAAATTAAAGCAGAGGCCAGAAGCAAATTTGAATGTTTTTTAAATTTCAAAAACTGACATTTCCCTGTGTCCACATTAAACACTCTGAAAGTTTACCATAAATTGACCAATATCTTCATCATACTTTAGGAACAAAGAATAATAAACATATGGGCTGCTGCAAAAAGAAAATATGAAGTGTGCACAAAAAAGAGTTAACACGGCAGGCCCACTGCTGTTCTTTCAAAGGTCTGCTTCCAGGGCTGGGCCTTGCTGGGATTTTGGGAGTGTTCCCATCATTTCCAGAACTGATAAGAGTAGCGCACAAGACCTAAACTGTTTGTACAAACACTATGGTTTATGCTGAACACTTGCTTTCCTTCTGGGAGTCTGGAACTTTGGTACATGGCGCCAGGCAGAAGACGCCTCTGTGGCCAGCCCCCGACAGAAACCTCGGGTGCTGTCTCTAATGACCTTTCCTGGTTGGCAACATCTCAAGCTTATCCTAACAACTCCTTGCTGGGGGAATTAAGCACATCTTATGCGTCCCTGGGGGCTCAGAGCNACATGAAAGCAACCTAGCTGTTGATTGACAGATGAATGGATAAAGAGGTTGTGGTACATATACACAATGGAATATTACTCAGCTATAAAAAGGAATGCATTTGAGTCAGTTCTAATGAGGTGGATGAACCTAGAGCCTATTATACAAAATGAAGTCAGAAAGAAAAAAGCAAATATTGTATATTAACACATATATGTGGAATCTAGAATGATGGTACTGATGAACCTGTTTGCAGGCCAACAATGGAGATGCATATATAGAAAACAGGCTTGTGGACAAAGTGGGGGAAGGAGAGGGTGGAACAAATAGAGAGAGTAGCATGGAAATATATATATTACCATATGTAAAAGAGACAGTCATTGGGAATTCGTTCTGTGACTCAGGGAGCTCAAACTGGTGCTCTGTGACAACCGAGAAGGCTGGGGTGGGAGGTGGGAGGGAGGTTTAAGAGGGAGGGGACATACGTATAACTATGGCTGATTCATGTTGATATATGGCAAAAACCAACACAATATTGTAAAAATATTAAAAAAATAAATTTTTTAAAAAAAGTTTACTTTCACTGTAAAATCAGAAATATATTCTAATTTTTAACAAAGTATGAAATGAAAAAATAGCATATACTACATAATGAGAATACCAGTGGTTACTCAGAGGTATTATGGAATTTAGATTTCTAGAGGCTGACTTAATTATGTATTAACATTCACCTAGCAAGCACATTTAAAAGTATGCCAAATTTTCCTACTAGATGTTTTCTTATAAAATCAGTGCTTTTCCTTAGATAGCCACTGTGCTAAATTTGCGTGTTATATAAAAATATACCATTAATATATCCAGTATAAAGAGATTAAAAAAAAATTAGAAACCCTCAAGGAGAAAAGGGAAAAAAAAAACAGAGGTACCTGTCAATTTAATACAAATATATGCTAACTCATTACAAATTAATAACAAGCTTAGGGCCCAGCTACATTCTTAAAAACTGTTTGAACATCAGAACCATTCAGTACTGTTAAGTATCTTTTCACTTTTGCTTTAGATCTTTGACATTTATAATTTCTTGTATGCTATTGTGAAAGTGATACTGGTCACCATTACAAACCTGATTCTAAAAGCTGTTTAAGAGGAACGAGACTGAGTACGAAATCAGCCCTCTTTCAGAGTGTTTTTAAATTAACATCCACTTCCTTACTCAGCTGAGCATTTCTGGCTTACTGATAAATGAACTGAAATTCCATGAAATAAAAACAGGCTGCTGAATGCCTCTTCAAGGACATAAATAACACTGCTGCAGATACATTCATAAATATATCAGACAGTACTGAGATAAGACACAGCAGCGTGATAAATTAGGAGGCTAGAATTAACATATACACACTAATATATGTAAAATAAATAACAAGAACCTACTATAAAACACAGTAAATTCTACTCAATATTCTGTAATAACATAATCTATTATGAGAAAAGAATCTGAAAAAGTATATGTATGTGTGTGTGTGTGTGTGTACAACTGATTCACTTTGCTAAAACTGAAACTAACACAACATTGTAAATGAACTATATTCCAATAAAAAATTTTTTTAAAAGACTCTTAGCAGCAAGAAAGCAAATTAATTTAGTGCCAGCTTACTGAACTTTCATATGGTAATTCTGATTATGCCTGCTTTTGTGAATATGAACTGAACTTATCTTCTAAGCAATATAAAAATCTTTTATTTCTAAGTTACCAGAATTTTAATACAGTAGCATATTACTGAAGTAATGTTTCTTTGAAATTACAATGTTGAAACCACTTACAAAGTATTTTACTTTTCAGAAGTATATTTATATGTAAAAATTGTTATTATTTTTTGTCACAAAGTGTTGTAAAATATTTTCAGTAAACTGGAAAAGAGATTATAAGGATCCATTCTAAGAAGCCACTGAAGTTGCTTCAGATAGAGGTTAAACAACTGAGTTAACCGAACAGTTTATTAGCAGTGATCTGAAGTAGGAAATGGTTAACTTTGGGATTTTTAACCCAGTCTGTATATGCCATCCTGAAACACAAATCATATTGTCATTCTCCTATTATGCAAAGAAAAACCTGAAACATCTCTGTACTTTCAATGGATGAAAAAGTCTATTAACTTTACTATTAAAAATGTTATACAAAGCTCTTCATAGTGAATCTGAACCTAATCTACCCTCCTCTCCTTTCACTTTTCCAAGGAGCCCCTACAGTCTTGCCACAGTAAACTATTTTCCACTCCTCAAATCTACTCATTCCATTTGGTACCTAAGAGAGATGAAAATGTTTGCAATTTCCTAGAAGGAGGATTATAAGTAAAGCATTTCATGGACATTTCTAATCTTTGACTATATGAATAGAGTATCACTGTTTAATTGGTTTATTGTAAAATTTCCTAATTTGATTAAATGGATCAGGGGAATTAACTGCTTCTCATATTAGCTATAAATCTAACTTAAATAATTTTTAAGATGCTTAATCTGTTTCTTTTAAAATTTTTATAAAAGCATTTTATATAAAGGTAATACATTAATATGGCAAGAACTCAAACAGAAATATAAAATGTAAACCAAGTATTCCTCCTTCAACTTTAGTCCTTCTTTGCTTCCCTGCTTGTTTACCTGTCACTTCCTCAGCCAGGAGTGTCCCTCCTGCCCCATTTTCATTTTCAGCTACACTTCTGCTCATTTTTCAAGTTTCAACCTAATTGCCTTCTCTGAGAAACATCTTCCAAAGCTTTTAGGCAAAGTGAGTTACTCCTTTCCCCACTGCTTTAATTCAACTTTGTTATATATTTCCTTAGCAGTTAGAGTATCCTGCACATAATACATACTCAATAAATGCATTTATTACATGGACTTGAACAAGACACACAAGCATCTAAAACCTAGGAGATAATGAAATACTCTTATTTCTTAAATATGGATGAATTTTTAAAAACATGATTTAATTACTGGGAATAATTGAGTTTTTGATAAATCTCATTAACAGGCAATTCCAATATAGTCCATTACAAATTAAAAGCATCAGAAGTTTCACTTGCACTGAAGATTTTATTCAATATTTCTTTTTTTTTAAATAACTAAGTTTCAAGATACCCTCATTTTTGTACATGCATACGCTATTCTCATTTTTACTCTCACAAGATCAGCGAACACTTTTTAGTCACTGCAAAGAGGACAGCTTCAATTAATTTAAGCCTAATCAAATGAAATCTTTATTTCATTTACTCCACATGTTCTCTTTTTATAGAAAGAAGTAAACAAAAAACAAAATCTGAAAAAGTAATACCTTTATCAGAGTATGTGTGTTCTAATGCATGAAGATCAGGCAACAGGTGAATACAATTTATGCAGCAGTAGGTGAAGAAATCAAGGACGACCACTTTTCCACATAGATCCTTGTAGACCGAAATAGGTTCTTCCGTATTCAGCCATTCTAATCCTGAAATTTACACAAAATAAGTAATGATTAAAGGAAACAATGAAGATAACTTATCTAAAACTTTCCATTAAAATGTGAACCATTATTATTTTTAAGAAAAGAGAGGGGACAGGAAGGGAGAGGGGAGTTAATACATAGAAAGCTACTATTATGAGGCAGTCTGCAAATACAGTAAGAAAAAGCTACTAAATTCTCTCAGAAATAGCATATTAGTCTGTGTGTGAAAGGAAGACCAACATATTTAGGTAAAAATGGGAGGAAGAATTAATATTAAAAGGACTTAAGTACATGATTAAGTACAAATAAGCTATTGAAAATGAAAGTCAACCTTAAGAACAGAATAAATATCAAAAAGGAACAGTGTTAAACTTTAAGGATAAACATGCTGTTGTGCAGTCCCAGTCATGGCCGACTCCTTGCAACCCCACGGACTGCAGTACATAAAGCTTCTCTGTCCTTCACCATCTCCCAGGGCTTGCTCAAACTCATCTTCATTGAGTCCCTGATGCCATCCAAACATCTCATCCTTTGTCGTACCCTTCTTATCCTGCCTTCTATCTCTCCTAATATCAGCGTCTTTTCCAATGAGTCAGCTCTTTGCATCGGGTGACCAAAGTATTAGAGCATGAGCTTCAGCATCAGTTCTTCCAATGAATATTCAGGGTTGATTTCCTTTAGGATGGACTGGTTTGATCTCCTTGTTGTCCAGGGACTCTCAAGAGTCTTCTCCAACACCACAGTTCAAAAGCATCAATCCTTCGGCACTCAGCCTTCTTTATGGTTCAGTTATCATATCTGTATATGACTACTGGGAAAATCATAGCTTTGACTATATGGACCTTTGTCAGCAAAGGATAACATACAAAATACCTAAGCCAATTTTGTAAGAGAAAGAGCTAAAATGCTCTGGATTTAAATGAGACCTTAAATACAAAATATTTTAATTGAAAAGTTAAGCAAAGCACAGTTAAAGATTTCATGAAAGCAATATTAATATTGATGAAGAGCATGTTCCCTTCTCTCCAAAGAAAAATAAAATCTCATTAATCTGTGCTTTCATAAATCAGAATTTATAATTACTAGACCATGATTTACAAAACTTTACACACTATGAAGAAAAATTTTGTTAAACAAAAGTAGATTAAAAGAGCAGCATCTCTGTTACCAATTTAAGAAACAAAGATAATGAGTTTGTTGCTTATAAGTAAATAAATGTACCTACTAAAACCATTATGCCTTGAAGCTTGGAAATAGTTTATAGAAACTGAAAACCAAAGTTGGGTGGAACCAGTGAATAATAACAGTTAACAACTAATAACGGCAACTGGAGTTACTCAAAACAAAATCCAGAAAAAAAAAACCCTGCAAATCAAACTAGTATTTCTGTCAATAGTCCAACCGAGTGAGGGTTTTGGCTTCCCTGGTGGCTCAGGCAGTAAAGAATCTGCCTGCAACGTGGGAGACCTGGGTGTGATTCCTGGGTTGAGAAGACCCCCCTAGAGCAGGGCATGGCAACCCACTGCAATATACTTGTCTGGAGAGTCCCCATGGACAGAGAAGCCTGGTGGGCTACAGTCCACAGGGTCACAGAGAGTCAGACATGACCGAGAGACTAAGCACAACAGTGAGGTTTCAGGGTACAGTAAGGTCTTAGTTACCAGTTTAATAAAGTGTTAATTATATACCTGATCAAATGACCATATAAAACTTCAAACTAATTAATGTGTATTTCACATCCCCTAATTTTAAAATATCTATGAGTCTCAAACATATTTTTTATAAATAATCAAGTGATTTAGATTAGGGAAGGAGGGAAAGTATTATTATATATGTCAGTTATTGTGCTAGGTGCTTAGCAGACTTAATAATAATAATGCATTTTATAATAAAAAGAACAATGAATATAATTTTAAAAGCTGCTAACATTTACTGAGCTCTCATATGAAGTAAGAACTTTAGATAGATTACTTCCAAACTGCATAATAAACCTGAAAAGTAAATACTGGTTCCATTTTATAAGTAAGAGAAAAGTAAGGCTTGGAGAAGTTAAGTAACTTGCTCAAGATCATATAACTAACAAATGGAATAACAGGGATTTAATTCCAGGTCTGTCTGAATCCTTCATTTATACCATGCTGCTTCCCATAAAACATGTTTCTTTTAAGAAATGAACAAAGTGAAGTGTTTCTGAGTTATGTTCATGACTTCTTCATTACCATAATTGATAAACCAAGAAAAAACCCACCCAGTAATCTGTCCTCAGTAATTATGCTAAAAACAAAGACTGAGTATTTTGTTATTATATTACATATGAGTCATGGAGATCAAATCTCATGGTAATAAAATACACTCATTGTAAACACCAACAAGAAAATAAAAGCACTGAGCAAAGTCCTAGTTGCTGGCATGCTGGTTTATGACAGTGTACTATATATAACTGATTTTGGTACTAACAACTTGGTGATGTCTGTGCAGAGTCATCTCTTCTGTTGTTGGAAAAGGGTGTTTGCTAGGATTGCTGTGTTCTCTTGACAAAAGTCTATTAGCCTTTGCCCTGATTCATTTTGTATTCCAAAGCCAAACTTATCTGTTACTCCAGGTATCTCTTGACTTCCTACTTTTGCATTCCAATCCCCTACGATGAAAAAGACATCTTTTTAAAATTTTAGTCTTATAGGTCTTCACAGAATCGGTCAACTTCGTCTTCTTTGGCGTAAGTGTTCGGGGCCTAGACTTGTATTACTGTGATGTTGAATGGTTTGCCTTGGAAACAAGCCAAGATCATTCTGTCGTTTTTGAGACTGCACTCAAGTACTGCATTTCAGACTCTCTTGTTGACTATGAGGGCTACCCCATTTCTTCTAAGGGATTCTTGCCCACAGTGGCAGATATGATGGTCATCTGAATTAAATTCACCCATTCTGGTCCATTTTAGTTCACTGATTCCTAAAATGTTGATATTCATTCACTCTTGCCATCTCCTGGAGTTTGACCACTTCCAATTTACCTTGATTCATGGGCCTAACATTCCAGGTTCCTATGCGATATTGTTCTTTACAGCACTGGACTTTACTTCCACCACCAGACAGGTCCACAACTGAGTACTGTTTTTGCTTTGGCTCAGCTGCTTTACTCTTTCTGGAACTAATAGTAATTGCCTTCTGCTCTTTCCCAGTAGCATAGTGGACACCTTCTGACGGGGGGGGGGGGGGGGGGGGGTCATCTTCCAGTGTCAAATCTTTTTGCTTTTTATACTGTTCATATTCATTGGGAAAACCATGATGATGTGGTCACTCACCTAGAGCCAGACATCTTGGAATCTGAAGTCAAGTAGGCCTTAGGACGCATTACTACAAACAAAGCCAGTGGAGGTGATAGAATTCCGGCTGAGCCTCTTAAAATTCTAAAAGATGATGCTGTTAAAGTGCTGCACTCAATATGTCAGCAAATTTGGAAACTCAGTAGGGGCCACAGGACTGGAAAAGATCAGTTTTCATTCCAATTCCAAAGAAGAGCAGTGCTAAAGAATGTTCAAACTACCATACAATCGTACATGAACCAAGAACTTCTACATGTACAAACACGGTTTAGAAAAGGCAGAGGAACCAGAGATCAAATTGCCAATATTTGTTGGATTGTAGAGAAAGCAAGGGAATTCCAGAAAAACATTTACTTCTGCTTCGTTGACTATGTGAAAGTCTTTGACTATATGGATCAAAACAAACGGTGGAAAATTTTTAAAGAGATGGGAATACTAGACCACCTTACCTGTCTCCTGAGAAACCTGTATGCAGGTCAAGAAGCAACAGTTAGAACCTCATATGGAACAACTGATGAGTTCAAAACTGGTAAAAGAGTATGACAAGACTGTATATTTTCATCCTGTTTACGTATCTTAAATGCAGAGTACATCTTTTGAAATGCTGGGCTGGATGAAGCACAAGCTGGAATCAAGATTGCTCAGAGAAGTACCAACAACCTCAGACATGCAGATGATACCACTCTAAAGGCAGAAAATGAAGAGGAACTAAAGAGTCTCTTGATGAGGGTAAAAGAAGAGAGTGAAAAAGTTGGCCTAAAACTCAACATTCAGAAAACTAACATCATGGCATCCAGGCCCATCATTTCATGGCAAATAGAAGGGGGGAAAGTGAAAGAAGTGACAGATTTTCTTTTCTTGGGCTCCAAAATCACTGCCGAGAGTGACTGAAGCCATGAAATTAAAAGATGCTGGCTCCTTGGAAGGAACGCTATGACAAACCTAGACAGTGTATTAAAAGCAAAGACATCACTTTGCCAACAAAAGTCTGTACAGTCAAAGCTATGGTTTTTCCAGTACTCAAGTATGGATATGAGAGGTGAACCATAAAGAAGGCTGAGAGAAATGATGCTTCAGAACTGTGCGGCTGTAGAAGATCTTGAGAGCCCCTTGGACTGCAAAGAGATCAAACCAGTCAGTCCTAAAGGAAATCAACCCTGAATACTCATTGAAAGGACTGATACTGAAGCTCCAACTTTGGCCATCTGATGTGAAAAGCCAACTCATTAGAAAAGACCCTGATGTTGGGAAAGAGTGAAGGCAAAAGGAAAAGCAGGTAGTAGAGGATGAGATGGTTAGACAGCATCACCAACTCAACGGATATGAGTCTGAGCAAACTCTGGGAGATAGTGAAGGACAGGGAAGCCGGGCATGGCTGCAGTTCATAAGGTCACAAAGAGTTGGACAAGAATTAGCAACCAAACAACAACAACACGTATATAAACTTTTGAAGTTTCTAGGATAGGATAAGCACTAATGCACCCAATTCTTTTGACAGAATTCTGCAATATTTCAAGTCCAGTATAGGATTAACAACAGAAAAAAATAAGCACTTCTAAAGGCCAGAGCAAAAGGCTTGGAAAGACACGAGGCTGTCGTCAGAGGCAGGGTTCCAACAGGCCTCCCATGAGACAGTGAACCCTGCCACAGCCAACCAATTAACTATACATGTGGTTTCAGTGTCATGACAGGAGACATGCCAACACCACCGGGCAAAACAATGCCAGTCCCAACCAAAGAAGGTAAAGTTCAGTTTCCTTTATCATAGCAAGATGAGCTTCACAAATAGCACTGCTGGGAATATCAGTTCTCTCACCCTCCGAACATTGACAGCAACAGGATTCAAACCTGGAGACAGGCCATAATTGATTCTGATTTTCAAAATTACAAGTTTCACAACTTTGAAAGAAGGAGGGTGGCCCAGTTAAGAAACCAGCCGATGTCGGAGGCAGTGTCTGTATAATCCAACTTCGGCATTTCTTAGTTGAGAGGCCCTAGGCAAACGACCCTGTTCCCGTGCTTCAGTTTCCCAACTGTAAAGCAGCTAACAAGACCACCTCAGGATTCTCTGGTGGCTCAGAATCCTTCTGCAATGCAGGAGACCTGCGTCCGATCCCTGTGTTGGGAAGATCCCCTGGAGGAGGCCATGACAGCCCACTCCAGTATTCTTGCTCGGAGAATCCCCATGGACAGAGGAGCCTGGCAGGCTGCAGTCCATGGGGTTGCAAAGAGTTGGACATGGCAAAGCGACTAAGCACGCATGCAGTAAGACCACCTCGATGGTTTCCAAAGAGGATTAAATAACAAATACTTTGTGTTCAGGACTCTGTGTGGCCCACAAGTGATCCGTAACCGTTAGCTTGGGTGATGCACAAAGATGATGATGGGCAACCAGAATGAAAGGACAGGGTGGCGTGGGCGCTGGAATCATTGCCAACAGGGGCCACGAAATTTTACTCAGTGTACTGAGTTAACCCAAGGCCCGGGCAGAGACGGAGGATAGAGACGAAGATGCAGGTTCCCGCCCTCCACAAACCCCCGTTCGCTGCCGCCTGGGGGCAGAGGCTCGGCTAGGAGAGGCGTCTCTCCGCGGCGCGGCCTCTCAACCGCCTCGCCCACCGCTTCAGGGGAGGGCGCGGTCCGCGAGAAAGGGGAGGTTCCGGAGGGGTCCCCACCCCGAAGCCAGCCCCTCACCTTCCGGAAACTCGGGCACCGACAAGTCCTGCTCCCAGCCGTCCACCTTCTGCAGATACTGGTAGACCAGGCCGTCCTTCTCCTCCTGGGTCACGGCGTCGAGCAGGGCGTACTCCAGTGAGGTCTGAGCCGGGAGCAGGCCCGAGAGGTTGCAGCTCCGGGCTCCGGACGCCGCCATGTTCTCTCCGGATGGTCCAGGGGCGGCCGCCCAGCCCGCGGGACGGTTTCGTGTGGAGAGAGAGAAAGCGCTTATTGTTCTTTGGTTTCCAAACCGCACATTCGCCTCCCTTTTCACCAGCCCCACTCCACGCTAACGGCACTTTGTTCAAAGGCTAAAGTGTAAATCGGCGCAATTCCCAGGCACGTAATTAAACTACCTTCCCAAGCTACCCCGCCCGTCCTAAGTCTTCCCGCCCCAGGGGAGCCTGGACATTCAGAACGCCAGATTCAACAAGGAAAAGGCCCCTGGGCCGGCGTTCTAGAAGCTCCGAGAGAACAATTCCCCACCCTCCAGTTTGGAAATTAGCAGCTTTTAGAACTAAAATAAAACAAGATAGATCTGTAAAACTTAAAGGGCCCAAACTTTTTTTTTTTCTTTTCAAAGTTCCCCTTTTAGACCGGGAACAGCCGATTCGACACAGCTTTGGTCACGGGAAGCTGTTCCCGCCACGACATGAAAGGTAAAGGAGTAGGGTTTTTTAAGTTGGGAGGGACTAGCCAATAGCTTGGCTTATACACCAAGGCCGCGTTTTATTACCAGGCAGTGCAATGAAAGCGCAGGAACGAACAGGGTGACCCGGCGGGCGAGGGGTGTCGGGGGGAGCGGACGCAGCTGGAGCTCCTCGCGGCGGGGTGGGGGTGGTGAGGGTGGCAGGTGGGCGCCTGCGGGGATCCCTGCGGCCCCGGCGTCCGCCCTCACAAGAGGGGTGGCGGCACCGATGGCTTTTGCGGAGCGGGCTGTGTTGGCAGCTCCCTCACTCCCAACCCTGGGGGTGGGGAGGGGAATGAGGGCCCCCTCCACTGGCTTGCCGCCTCTAATTCCCAAACAGGAGGTCGAGCCGGTGGGTGTCATCAGGCAGGTGAACCTTGGTTTTTGAGGCTGATGGGAAAGAAAGCTGATCACTTGCAGGCAGATCACCTCTGCGATCTGAAGTTAGGCTTGTGGGTGACCTCGGTGCAGGTTCAACTTCACATACTTGAATTTTGTTTGTTCATTGTGCAGCCTTTATTCACTGCCGCTGGAGGAAGATACTGTACTGACCTAGGAAACCGAAGTTGTTGAATGTCCTGGAGTCACGGCTATAAGGGCGATTACTTTTCTTTTGCCGATCACACATTTAATTATGGTGTGACTAGAGTTACTAGCAAGTTGCAGCAGCCGTTAAGTGTTTGGAACACCTGCTGAGTCCGTTGCCTGGGGACTGTGGTTGGATTTGTGATTTGGACAGTTGTCCAGCTGGAAAAGAATTGACAGGAGCTTTATAACGATTTTACAAAGCTCCTTCTGAAATTAGTCTGTTAAACCTATGATTTCCATTAGGGCTTGGTATTCAAAGTATTACTGATTCTTATTTTTATGAATCAAGTCCTGGAAAAAGCCAAGAGACCTGAATGAAGTATACACAATGGAAAACTCAGATGCTACCCGTTAATTTTACTGTGCTGTAAATGGAACAGCAGGTGTTCTTAGGTATAAGGTTTGTAGTTTGCCAATATATTCATTACCAGAGCTTTAGAGTCCTATCAAGTTAGTAAGTTTTTTGTTACTTTTTTTTTCCTCAGCAAAATAATTCCCTTAATAATTTTGTAACAAGAAACAGACTGTCAGTTTGCTTAAGATTAGTACTTTTTTAATGATCAGAATAATTTTGCCATGTTAGAAGATGCTTTTTCAGAAGAAGACATCTGGGAATACAAATCCAGAAGAAAACCAAAACGAGTACCTCCAAATAATTGCTCTGAGAATATTCCAGAATCTGTTGAAAAAGCAACAGATGGACAACACCAGTCAAAACGAAACAGAAATAAAAAAAGGACTGTAGAAACTGAAAAGAAGGCCAAGACCCCAGAAACGTGCCTTAGAGAAACAGTCAGTCAGACTTCTGTAGCTTCCAGTCAGAACTCCACTTGCGGAGATGGTATTCAACAGTGCCAAGACACGGAGGCCACTCCAGAAAAGCTCTGTAGGACTCACAAAGACAAACACGTGTCTCCAAAGACACGACCGGTTTATGATGGGTACTGTCCCAACTGCCAGATGCCTTTTTCCTCCTTACTAGGTCAGACACCTCGATGGCATGTTTTTGAGTGTTTGGATTCCACACCAGTCTCCGCAACAGGTAAGATGCCAAAAAAGAAGTGGACTCAATAGTCAACAAGACCTGAATGAGGCCAGACTTACCAATCTGGAAGGAAGGAAGGAAAATAAGTAGTAAACTGGAAGTGAGATGAGATTCTCTAAGTAAGAATGACTCACCTTTGAATGAAACAAGATAATGCATTGTTACCCTTCTTGTGAGGGTAAAAAGATGCTAGTCATTGGTATAACTGTAGAGAGTGTTGCAAACCTGAAAACAATTTGAAAGGGGAATTCCCTGGTGGTAAGTGGTTTGGGCTCCTTTCTTCCACTGCAGGTGGAACGGGTTCAATCCCTGGTTCAAGAACTAAGATCCTATAAGCCACGTGGCCAAAAAGAAAGTTTTAATGCATTTTAAGAAGTTCCAAAACATCTGATTTTTCATAAATGTTAATTGAGCACATATTAAGCTACTTTGACCTGCATAAGGTAGGTAGTGTTGACATCTAATGGGCTTCCCAGGTGGCATAGTGGTAAAAAAAAAAATCCACCTGCCAGTGCAGAAGACATAGGTTCAATCCCTGAGTTGGAAAGATCTGGAGAAGGAAATGGCAATCCACTCTGGTATTCTTGCCTGGGAAATCCCATGGACAGAGGAGCCTGGGGGTCTACAGTCGCTGGGGTCACAAAGAGTCAGACATGACTTAGCGATTGTGTTTTCAGTCGCTCAGTCATGTCTGAACCTTTGCGACTCTAGACACTGCAGCCCTCCAGGCTCCTCTGTCCATAGGGGTTCTCCAGGCAAGAATACCAGAGTGGGTTGCCATGCCCTTCTCGACTTGGTGACTAAACAACAGCAATTGATATCCAATAGAGGTGAAGTGAAGTCGCTCAGTCGTGTCCAACTCTGCGACCCCATGGATGTAGCCTGCCAGGCTCCTCTGTCCATGGGATTTCCCAGGCAAGAATACTGGAGTGGGTTGCCATTTCCTTCTCCAGGGGATCTTCCTGACCCAGGGATTGAACCTGGATCTTCCGCATTGCAGGCAGATTCTTTACCATTTGAGCACTTAGTGTTCTTAAAAGTTGAACAATTTGCCCATTTTATCTTTTATGAAACAGACTTTTAGAGAATCATGAGTGTAGTCCCCAGGATTCTTGAAGTCACGAATGCTGTACATTCTTCTTAATATACAGAAAGAAGAAGAGTGTTAGGTTATTAAGATTCTAGTAAATAAACTTGTGCCAAATGACAACTGAAGTAATATTACGTTTTTGTTATCTTTTAAACTATATAGTAAATGTCATGTTTAAAATGTAGAAAATCCTACTTATAGTATATGGAGAATGAGTTGTTATTGATTTGTATGAAGTTATATACCATATGTAAAATTTTAAATCTCAAAAAACTGAAATTCAGTAAAATAAAAGTAATACTCAATATGGCTTTCATGTTAACTATGATTCAAAAGACATTTTATTATTAACTTCTAGTTCTCATTTTAAAGTACTGCAAAGATGCAAAATAACAACAATAACAAAACTGGCACTAGCCTTTTCTGTATAAGTAAAAGCCTCAACAAATGCTAGTAATTTGGTTTTCAATGGCTTGAAAATCAGAAATCGAAGTCCCATAATGAGCCCCTCAGGGTGAAATGTCTTACCGATGAAGCCACCTCAAAGAGATTTTTCTCTTTGCTTTTCACTGATAAACTCCTTTGAACAGAATCTCAGGTGGATTGTCCTTGAGTTCTATAACATATACTTTTATGAGGTAGTTTTAAGTTTTAAGCAATGAAGTCTTCCAATTTAATGTAACATCCTTTTTGGAGGTGAAAGTCGCTCAGTCATGTCTGACTCTTTGTGACCCCTTGGACTATACAGTCCATGGAATTCTCCAGGCCAGAATACTGGAGTGGGTAGCTTTTCCCTTCTCCAGGGAATCTTCCCAACCCAGGGATGGAACCCAGGTCTCCCGCATTGCAGGTGGATTCTTTACCAGCTGAGCCACAAGGCAGGCCCTTTGGAGGTGGAGGGAGTCATTTTTTGATAGGCCTGGAAAGTGACATACAGGGGGGAGGTTGTGCCAAGATGGTTTCCATACTGTTTCTCGATCATAATAGTATGACGGGAGTTTCCAGATTACTTAAGCCTTATTATTAACCAATTTATCAAATTAAATTGCAAATCTTACAACAGAATCTAAAATGTTTAGTGTATGGACAGCTCTGATTAAGATTGCTATTATTGTTTTTGTATACAGTGTGAATATTAAATAATGGAACCTAATTTGGTACTGTAATTGTCATATATCTGTGTTGCCTGATAAGACAAAAATTGGAGTAGAATTTTAGTCTGTGGAATTTTAAACTTGATACAGACATACCAGGTTTCTCTACTCTTTTTTTGCCTGAGCCATAAGAGATGTAGTGAAACTGATAGGATCGATTTCTCGTGCAAGCATGATATTCATTTTGGAGGAGCTTATCTTTGTGAAAGTTTTTAGTGGGGAGAAACAGGTGTTAGTCTTAACTTTTTTTTTTTCCCAAGAAAAGAGTATTTGAAAAGAAACTTAAAAGAATATTTGATTTAAAAATAATAACTAGCACCTTGTAAAACCATACTTGATTGCTGATAATTGTGTGTTGATTTTTTTGTTGGTATAAAAATAGCTATTGTCCTAAGGCTGCAAAGTAGGGCTGATTACTTACCTGTTAAACCACTTACCTGTTAATTTATAGTGCTAATACTGTCAAAGCTTAGTCTGTGCTTTGATCCAGTAATACTTTTTTCTTTATTAAAATTTTCAGAGTGTCCTGATGGCCTTCAGTGTTCCTCAACAATTCCTTCTCATTACCAGAGATATACTCACCTTCTGCTAGCTCAAAGCAGGGCTGGTAATAGTCCTCTCAGGGATCCTTCCCATGGATCAGGTTGGAGTTTCAGTGAGACTAATTCAGACTTTCTTTGTAGCCTTGAGAAAAGATGGTCTTCACATCAGAAACAAACAGAAATCTTAAAAAATGTTTCAACTGATCCCTTGCTAGTGACACAATGTCTAAAAAGCTCTCAGTCTCCAACTGAAACCCATAAAAAGATTTCCTCTTTGACAAATATCCAAACTTCCCAACAAGTCACACAATTTACAGGACATGTTAATAGTGACAAACTGGTAGGAGTTGGTTTGCCTCTTGTTGAAGAATTAGACAGCCAAAACAACCCAGAACAAAGAAATTTGCCATTGCCAGAAAATGACTTTAGCAACTGTGAAATCTCCTATTCTCCACTTCAAAGTGATGAAGAAACTTACGATACATATGATAAGCTGGATGATTCACAACAGAAACTATTTTTCATGGAAAGCTCTAAAGATGGCAGCCTAGAAGAAGATGACAACAGCTCCACTTTGTCTAAAAAACTATATGACTCCTTACTGAAGGACCAGGAGGCCTGCCCCGAAGTGGATAGCTTCTTAATGCAGGATAAATACAATGAAGAATTGTATGAATGCAACTCTCTTAATGATTCGTCTCAACTTACTTTCCAAAATAAGAGATTTGTTTCATGTGGTCATCCAGCATATACTGATGATGATTTTATGTTGCTTCCACCTGTATTAGCAGAGAGGTTTACTTCTCCTAGTTACCAAGCCTCTAAAGCAAAACCTAATGAGCCAGAATTTCACTCCTCTCAATCAAACAAAGAGAAACAGGTGATTGAAGAATCAGCTGTTTACAATCAAAACTCTCTTCCACTACTGAAGAGTAAAATGTCAAAACCTTTTGAAAACCAGAGAGGAGGGTGTCATTCTGTCCACCCAACCCAAAGTAAAATCAGAGAATTATCAAATAAGAATTCCAATGCTAAGAACAACGCAAACTCAGCATGTTTCTGCAGAAAGACATCAGATGGTATGCTGGACAATCAAGTTCCGGTTTTAAATTCAGAAACATTTTCTAGTACACCTACTGTTGCTAAGCCTTCGAAAATGTTGCCCTCTGGCCCTAAGTGTCATGCAACACAGCCTTCTACTAAGGTAATGAAGCAGATGGATATAGGTGTGTATTTTGGACTGCCACCCAAAAGAAAAGAAGAGAAAGTGCTGGAGGAAAGTTCATTAGAAGGGGTGAACTTCAATACAGCTGTAAGTCCTAATGAAAAGAGGTCCCAGCGGCGCAAGAGGAAAGCAGAAAAATCTTTAAGTGATTTAGAATTAGAGGCAAAGAATTCAAGTGAAAGTCAGCCCTCTGTGGAGCTTTCTGATAAGGGGTCACAGCGTCAAAGAAAGAGACTTAAAAAGTCAGATTCATTGCAGGAAGGAGGACATCAGAAGAATCCAGGTCACCTTAAAAAGACAGTGCCTGAAACAGTCAATTTAAGTAAAGACAAAGCCTTCATGAAATCAACTCGTCGCAGGGTGCAGAGGGAGAACACGAAAATCTCAGAGTCATCTAATGCAGGAGAATTAAGGAAAAGGACATGTCCATTCTATAAGAGAATACCTGGTAAGTCGAAGTATCAATGCTCAGTGTATCTACAAAAACGCAACTTCTTTAAACTTCATGTTCATTGCTCATGTTGTGTGCCTGTGAAACAATTTTTTGCGTTTCCCTTATTTTTTATATCTCATTAACCTGTAGCAGATTTTGTGTGTGTATGTGCCTATTTAATCTTTTTTTGGTCCATTTAGTTCAGCAAACTTCTACTAAACATATTCTATATACAAAATGGGTCTTCCCTGGAGGTTCAGACAGTAGAGTCTGCCTTCAGTGCAGGAGACCCAGGTTCAATCCCTGGGTCGGAAAGATCCCCTGGAGAAGGGAATGGCAACCTACTCCAGTATTCTTGCCTGGAGAATCCCATGGACGGAGGAGCCTGGCGGGCTACAGTCCATGGGGTCACAAAGAGTTGGACACAACTGACTGACTACCACCACCACCATATACAAGATACTCTACTAGTTAAATAGATATTACAGATTTGACAAAAATGAATATAGATTAGTTTAATACAGAGGAAGGAAAGGATTTATGTAAGTAACCATAGTAACAGATAGCCTCTAAGAACTTAAGAAAAATGCAAAATTCTAAAATGCAAAATTCTAAAAAGCTTCAAAGAAGGAAAATGTCATGGGTTACACAGGTCATAATAATGCTAAACTTTTTAAATGTTCATAAAATTTTCATAAAAATGCTAAACATTTTCAAACCATATCATAACTTAGTTTCATAGTCTTTTCATATTTTTTTTAATTTCTTGTGCCTTCATAGAAGAGCTAATAGAAAAATGTGTAGTAAAATGAATTTTATTAATGAAGAAACCAGGTACCCTTCTGAAAAGAATATAAAACTGCCAAAATGCACTTGGTTTCAGGAAGATTCTTTAATGTGCTTTTTTGATACTATAAATGTATAGTTTGCTCAAAATATTTATGTAAAAAAAAGTAAAAAAGTATTTATGCACATTACAGCATCAGTTCTGTTTTTATTAATTACTTTGATTATGTATTTAAAGTGAGCCCAGAACTAGTGGGCCATGTGTGGGTAGGCCTCTGTAGAATTGGGAAGGTATGCTTATTTATATATATAGGAGGTATGCTTATTTATATATATATAGGAGGTATGCTTAGAATAGCTCTTTTTTTTTCCATAATTGCTGCTCTAGGGAGCCTTTTTAGGCAATTTTTTTTCTCATTTCCCTTTCTCCTCCCCACCTCCCACAATGAAATTCAAATACTACAGATATCTATTTACCTGTTGTTCTGTGACTCTTTGGAGGGCCAGTGAGATCATTTGGGTCATCAACCATTTTTCTCCTGCCAGAAGCAGGTCAGCGTCACCCCCATTGAGATTTCATGTTTTAGAAGAAAGCATTCTCCTTTTGCTGTTTCACAGAAGTAAAGGGTTTTTAGGTGCCTAGTAAGTATCATGAAAATATTCAGCTAGCCAAATAACTGGTTTGTAGCTTAGTGCATTTTTTTTTTTTTTGGCAAAGTTATTCTTAAAAAAGACTATACTGGGTATATTTAGTGTAAACTTACAAGACTCATTTTCATCTCTAGGATCATCCTTTGGTGAATTTATGTGTAATAGATTTTTTAATTAAATTGTAAAGTTAAGTTGGACATGAGATGTAAAGGTGTAAGAGGGTTTGCTATATAAGCAAATTGGGTAATTTTTACATCACTCTTGCTAAAGCAGCTGCTTTGGTGTTTTCATTGTAGGAACTGGCTTTACGGTCGACGCCTTTCAGTATGGATGGGTTGAAGGTTGCACTGCCTATTTTCTCACTCATTTCCATTCTGATCATTACGCTGGATTGTCTAAAAACTTCACGTTTCCCATTTATTGTAGTGTGGTAAGTTCTAGTATTCTAAATTCTGAATTTGTGGCATGCAGTGAATCTCTAAGCAGTCTGGTTAAAAAATAATTAAAATTGTAAGATCATTTTTCTAGAAAATATATGAAAAAGCAGATTCCACATTGAGACTCTAAAATCAAATGAGTTATTGTCGATAGTTACAATAGATGTTTTAAAATATGCTTTATTTTATGGAGACAATAGATAAGCTAGTTCATGATATACTGAAATACAGTTCATTCAGTAAATATTTACTGAATATTTACTAAATATTTACTGAATGCCTGAAAAGAGACTCATGGCAAAATACCTAACTTCAGGGAGCTTACAGCCTACACATTCACCAGTACTCCAGTGGGCTCTCTACTTGTAGTAGAAAAGTAAACAGAATGCCTAGAAGTAGGGAGAAGTCAGGGGCTTTACTGTGTCCTGGCTAAGGTCAGAAACAGTTTCATGGTGAAAGAGACACCTTGAGCTAATTATGAATAGGTGAGCATTTTAATGTGTACTACTAAGGACTTTGGCTAGAATTTGATTTAATCCTCAAGTATTCTTGAATAATCCTCTTTTTATTAGTGAAGCAACTGAGGCTTGGAGCGGTTAAGTAGCATGCTCCAAGTCACAGAGCTAGTAATGACAGACACAGAATTTGAACACAGGTCTGTCTGACTCCAGATCCAGGCAAAAGAAAAAGAGAGGCTTCCAGGTAGAGAAGAGTTTGTGTAAAGGAACAGACACTGAGAAGTATAGCCATTCCAAGAACTCCAGTTGCTAAAAACAAGCTAAGGAGTAACAGTAGATAAACCTGCAGAAATGGGTAGGGGCCAAATCATCAAGGACTCTGTGTCTCATGATGGGGTAATAGACTTTTTATAGGTGAGGGAGAAGTCGGTGATAGTGTTTAAGCAAAGTTGTGATGCAGTCATTTTAGAAAGTTCTTCCTGGCATTCTGGTAAGTTTACATGAATATATAAGTGAGAGAACAAGGAAATTATTAAGATGCTTGAGATCTTAAGTAGATATGAAATAAAAGACTTATTTAGTGTTTTAATGTATCAGCAATAAGCTCATCCTGTTTTGCAGATAACTGGCAATTTATTGAAGAGCAAACTTCACGTACAACAACAATATATCCATCCATTGCCAATAGACACTGAATGTATAGTGAATGGTATCAAGGTTATTTTGCTAGATGCCAATCAGTAAGTATTAAAGTTACCTTACTGACAACCTGTTTTTAAATATTCAAAAGGGAAACACATTGCATGGTTATTTAAGAACTTTTTATTGAAACTCTTATGCTTGATATTTCTTAAAACAAGTAAAATGTGTTTCTTATTTTGAAAAAACAAAATGTACCCAATACAGAAACATGTAGAGTTTAATCTAAGTGTTTTCTAACCCTTTTTTAATACAGTTTAAATTACTGTGCTTTACATATGAGACTCTATCTTATTTTTTTTAATCTTTTAACATATTGCTGCTTTTCTTTAAGAGATAACCTTTTGCCATTTTCTTTAATATCACTTATATAAATTAACAGCTGGTACTCCATTCAGATTCTAGAGGATTTTTTTTTTCCTTTAAGACATCCTTTAGGTTTTTGATATTAAATCTTGGAAGATTTTTTTTCTTGAAAGAATTTTTTCTTTTTCGCCTCATTTTTTTAATGTTAAGTACTGTCAGGATTCACAGTGCCAAAATACAACTGTCAGTCAGCTATGCATCTTTACACTTTCCGTGGAATGTTATCCTTATGTACCTTAGAGATCATAGATACCTAGAGAATTAAAACTAAGACTAAACCAAGGTCTCCTAAATTCCAGGCCAGTGCTTTTTTTTTTTTTTTTTTCAGATCACCCGTGAGATTTTATCTGCTAACTTTGCTGGTGATTATTTATTTAATCACCAATTATAACAACTCCAGTTCTGATCTTTTTTTTTTTGGTGAACTTTATTGAGATGTAATTTATGTAAATAAAATGGACCTATTTTAAGTCTTTGTTGAAATTTAACAAAAGTACACACCCATGTAATTCTCACCAGAATAAAAATATGGAAAATATTCCCTATCATAGGAGTTTTCCTTGTGTTCCTTCCCAGTCAATCCCAAATCCCAACTCGGATTCAGAAAACCTTGTTTTCTGTGACTGTGGATTAGATTTGTCTTTACTAGGGATTCATCTGAATGAAATCATATAGTAACTCCTATTTTGTATCTGATTTCTGTCACATGTTTTATTTTTGAGATTCATCCATGCTGTTACGTGTTCCTTTTTATTACTGTGTAGTATCTACTGAATGACATAATACAATTATTTTATCCATTCAGTTCTTGATGGACAACTGATTTTTGTTCTTTGACTTTGCATCCTGAGACCTTGCTAAACCTGATCATTTGTTGTTTTAGGTTTTTTTGTATTAATAGATTCATGAAAATTTTCCATATATGTCTACAAATAAAGATGATTTCATTTTACTTCTTTCTTTCCATTTAGAGTGGTACTTTTTCTTTTATTTATTGTACTGGATTAGACCTTCAGATACTGTCAAATGTAAGTGGTGAGACTAGACATGTTCCCATGTTTTTGATCTTAAGAAGAAAGTATTCAGTCTTTCTCCATTAAGTATGATGTTAGCAATAGGTATTTCATAAATGCCTTTTATCAGTTTTGAGGAAAAGCCCCTCTGCTGGAAGTTTGTGATGATGAATGGGTGTTGAATTTTGTCGGAAGAGTTTCTTTGGCATCTATTGAGATTATAATATAATTTTTCTCCTCTATAATGTTAATGTGGTAAATGACAAAGATGGATTTAAACCAGCCTTACATTACTGAGATAAACCTACTTAGTCTTCATATATTACCCTTTTTGAAAATTCATAGGTGGATTTGATATGCTAATATTTTGTAAAGGAATTTTGTCTGTTTTACAATGTCTATTGGTCTACAGGTTTTTTAAAATAATACTTTTATCTTACTTTGATATCAGAGTAATACTGACCTCGTGAAGTATTCCCTCCTCCTCTATTTTCTGAAATATGTCATGTAGTAATTGTTATTATTTCTTCCCTAAATGTTTTATAGAATTGCCCAGTGAAGTCACTGAGGTGTGGATTTTGGGTTCAGGGAAGTAAGGGGAAGTTTGTAATTATTTCCTGTGTTTTCCTAGAGTTTAATTTCCTAGAATTCCACAAGACCACCTCTAGGTTCACTGGAAGGACTAATAGGACATAGAAAAGCTGTTTTATTTGTGGTGACAGCTTATCACAGTGAACGGACACATTACAATCAGCAAAGGGAAAAAGGCAAATGAGGGTGAATTTAGGAGAAACCAGGTCCAAGCTTCCAGGTGTCCTCTTGT